ACCATCAGATCTGCATGCAAGATGTAGCCTGACAACACGAAGTGCTTTCTCATATGCTTATACAAGCAGTTAGAGAAAGAGTCTAATCCTCTAACATATAAATAAAACAGTATGAAAATACTACATATTCTTGCTCAGAAGGGGGTATCTGCTTTTGACACTCCTATACTACAGGATGATTTCTCTGTATAGAAATAATACAGTACAAGAATGTAAAAAGACAGTTTTGGAACTGCACACATGGGGATGAATGGGCACATTTTTCCTACCCACTAGTCATTTTATATGTGAAAAGAACACAGAATCTAGGATCAGAAATCCTCCTGTAAAATCTGAGCGAATGGCTGAAGCATAGGAGCAGGGTTAATACTGAGAAGAATGTACAATGAACTGAAAAGTTAAAACTTTTTATCCTGAAAGTGCAGGAATGTAGAAGCACAAAAGCTTCTTCTGTCTTCCTCATCCTACATGAGGTGCAAACACACCACCTGTTTTTAAAACCAATAAATTAATCTGGTTTTCTACTAAAAGAGTTTTAAATTTTTTTATGGAAAGACCTCAACTCTTAAGAACAGATACTCGTTATGGAAACTGGGGTAACTCCAAGCTGTAAAGATATTTCCTAGGTTAACCCACCCACATGTTCAAGTAAAGAGGATGCAACTTTCAAGGAAAAGGAGAAGGTGGGGTTTTTTTTAACAGATACACTGCTGAGCAGCTCTTTGACTATAAAGCAACAAAACCAGCAACACTATTACACGGAGAACCAGAATGGTCATATGATTTGTTTAAGGTGTTAAAGGCCTTAAACTAATGAAACTGGCAGAAAATCAGACCCTTGAGAGTTCGTTACACGGTACATAAATACGAAACGCAAGCAAACTGATATGTGTAGCAGTTTGCCAGAAAACAGAAATCAGCTTTGTTTGGAAACACAACAGACCTGGGTACTATACGGAGGTTAGGATTTAAAAAAATGTCAGCATGTTAAACTGAAACACATGCAGACAGCATCCCAAAACTATTGCAGTATAGAGCATTTTGATGAGACATCTGCAATGCAGCCTCACAATAATAATAGAGTTTATAATGCTAATCCAGATGTAAATATAAATAAGTATTTCTACAATATGAGATGACTTCCCAGGTCTGTTTATCTTCCAATGAAAAGAAATAATTCCATGAAACTTCAAGTTGGTGAATTCTCTTCCACTGTTTTTGATGTATTTCTGTTAAGATGACTTTATTAACTGCTTTAGCTATGAGTAGTTATTCACTTGAAGTTTTTACAACTTTCCACTGTTTTTAATATTCTAATAGAATACTATTAGCTGTTCTTCAATTCACTGTCTCATTTTTTTCAAGCAATTATGCTTTCATATAGCATCTTTTTTTTTAAGTTCTAGCATCAGTCTTAATACTCTGCAACATTTAATACATAGTCTTAAAGACTGTCAACCTGCTTCGACTTTTCCATATATTTCACGTGGCAGAATTCTTGTCTTTAATTCTACTATTTACCCTGATTAATTTCCATAACAGCAGTATTGTGATTAAAACACTATCCAGATAATGCTCAAATGGTCCTGTGCAAGATCAAGCTCCCAAAGCCTCTACACAATAAGGACTGAGGAACATAGACACTGAGAAGGACATGTAGCTGTATGCCTTGGATCAAGTATCTCATGATTCCAAATCAACAACTACCACTGGGTGAGTTAATCCTTGTGAGTGAAACAATTAAAGCATCTTAAGGGAAGCATCCTGCAGCTCCAAAGGCATTTTTATTTCAGGTCATCAGTGCAGCACACCTTCTACTATCTAGTTGCTCTCAAGTGTTGTCCACATTATACCTGCAGGACTAGAATGAACGTTTTATGCATCTATGGTTAAGTTTGGACACTGAAGAGCAGGTTTGACTATCAGCATTAACCATACCATTTGGCAACATTTTACATTGAGGAACTCCAGTTTTAAAAACATTCTCTCTATGTAATTAGATGCTTGAAATCCTTCCTGAGGAACTGATCTGGAGAGTTTCTGCTTTTGTTTTGATTTTGAAAAAATGCCCCCTGTGGATTGCTATCCTCATTCATTTATAATTCTCAATCATATTTTGATTAACAATTTCTTTCCCTGCTTCCGTCTTGCAGTGCCCTGTAATTGGCGATCCATTGTTCTTTGGCACTGTATCTATAAGCCCCTATAAGCTGGCCATGGAATGCTTCTATTTCCTCACCTCGGCAGCTGTGGTAACAGCATACATCTGAATAACCATCAGATTTGCTAAAACTTCTTCCAGGCAGACTGAAATGAAACTGCCATTGTCTGGAATGTATCTAATTAGGAATGCAAATGCATCCTTACTCAAAAAATTAATGCCAGGGTTTCTTCAGCACTCTCTCTGTGTTAGCAGTCAGTATCTCAAAGGGATGGTAGAGTAGTTGAATATCAATTCACCAAACCTCCAAAAGACCCTCACATGACAGTGTCTGAATAATGGCATTAATTAAGTAGAAAGCTGCACATGTCCCTTTAAATAAATAAATTTCTTTTTGATCTCCTGAGCTTTTGTGAGGACTCTGCAATTGCTGTGATGTTGAATACAATCAAATATAGCTGAATGCACTTCAAATTACATTGATTCCTGAGGCAAACACATACATTGTTTTGGATAATGAGAGGTTCGGCACAGGTGGAGGCAGGTTCAGAACTTCAGTTCACAAGAGGAGGATCATCTGCTCTTTGCTACCCACAGCTTCAGGTACAGCCAACAAGGTAATTTCTGGTAACTTTTGCTTCTTGCATTGGCAAATTGCACTTGCAAAGCAGAAGTGGAAGATGGCACTGACAGAAATCTTGATATTAATACTGTCAATTTGGGTGTGGTGCAATGACTTACACTTTTACAGATGCACTATGCACTTCCACTGTACACATACACTGTGAACTTACGAGTTATGCATATGTGCAGTCTCTTTCAGATGAAAGTATTTTCCCCTCATGCTTCAGAAAGTACTACAGGGGGATAGAGCATCCTTTCCTTTTCTGAGTGACTGTCCACATATATATACACATCACAGAGGACTGTAAGAATATATGCTCAGAGCTTCCCACACAGCAGTTTCTGTGACTTCATAGAAACTGACTGAAGCTTTGTTACACTCCTCAATGAATTTCCAAGAAATTAATCTCTAAATAAGCAGTCAGTCATGATCAAGCCCAAGAAGACTGAACATATAGGAGACTCAGATCTCACTGAGGAACAGAGAGAAACAACTTTGTAATCTTAAAAAAAAACCACCAAATCCCAAAGTCCCTGAGTTACCAAGGGAAGACAGGATGAGCAACAGAGGCATTAAATGAAGCTCACCTGATCTAGAAAAAAAAATTTGATGTCCTAACCAAAACTCTTAGCCTGTGTTCACTGAAACAGGAACTGATCAGAAGACCTATGGAGGATCAGCCTCAGTCTGGTTTGTTTTGCCAGCTAACTCCAACCCAAATATCCTGCTAGAGGCAAGATACATGTTTCAGGATCTCTCTTCAGTATATAAAAGATTTTGTAATTGACAACTGCAGTAAGGATGAGACACGTTAAAGATTTTGCAGATTGGAATTCCTACTGAAAGGGTTTAATTTATACACCACAATACATTAAGACTCACTAATGCATATTAGAAACACAGAATGGTTTGGGCTGGACGGGACCTTTAAAGGTCATCTAGTCCAAGCCCTCTGCAATGAGCACTGACATCTTCCACTAGAACAAATTGCCCACAGTCCCATGCAGCCTGACCGTGAATGTTTCCAGGAGGGGGTATCTACTGCCTCTCTGTGCAACTGTCCCAGTGTTTCACCACCCTCACTGTAAAATATTTCTTCCTTGTATCAAGTCTGAATCTATCCTCCTGGTTTAAAATCATTCCCCTTTGTCCTATCCCTACAAGCTGTACTAAAAAGTTGGCCCATCTTTCTTGTAAGCCCCCTTCGAGTACTGAAGGCTGCCCTGGAGCCTTCCCTTCTCCAGGCCGAGTAAACCTAACACTCTCAGCCTGTCCTCATAGGAGAGGTGCTCCAGCCCCTTCATCCTTTTTTGCAGCCCTCCTCTGAACTCACTCCAACAGGTTCATCTCTTTCCTGTGCTGAGGACTCCAGGACCAGATGCAGTACTCCAGGCGGGGTCATACCAGAGTAGAGCAGGGGGACAATTACATCCCTTAATTTGCTGGTCATGCTAGCCTGTACTATTTTTTTATATTTAAAAGAAAGTTGAAATCATCTATTTCTTTCTTTCAACTGAAAAGACAGTGCAGCAGACAAGCTTCCTTTGAAAAATGTATCTCCATTTTTATTACTGCTTAATTTTGTTTAAAAATAAATTGCTGAGCATATAGATAGTGCAGCTGAGTCATTTTATCATTTGAAATTGGATTTGTGGGCTGAAGACACCTGGGGGAAATTCTGCATATGACAAAACTCTATTTCAGATTTTTAAAATAAGGTGTTCTGAAGCATCTTCAACTTCTGGGAAGCACCAGGATTGGTACATCGATTGAGATTGTGTAAGACTGATAGAAATCAGGCTGTTAAGTGTGTGAAGCTGACAAAACTTCAAAAGGAGGTTATCAGGATCACCTGAATCTCTGTTCATACATTCCACTAAATAAGGTGACAGTTGAAGAATTACAAACAGATTTTGGCTTGTAGTCACAAGTTGATAATTAATGAAGTGAATGAAGATCTCTACCAACAAAATATAAATAAGTATTTTTAAAAAACAAAGCAAATTTTAATGCGACATTGTGATCCAGTACTCAATGCAACTCTAGTCTTCTTGAACTATAATCATGTCTGTTTCACTGTAATCCAGATTTCCCAGATCAGTTTAACCTGGATAGGAGTTTACACAGGTCACATACACAGTTCTAAGTTATCCTGAAAATGCCCTGATGTCCTGAACTATCTTAGAATCAATATTTAATAAACAAAAACCTTACCCGAATCATCATGACTGAGCATCTGATGTTATGAATTGTATCATACACCTTCTTAGAAATGTCCACAAACTGGTTATCATCAAAAAGATGCACTGTGTTCTTGCTTAAACTCTCCAATGCAATATTTACTTGATTTATAAACTCTGGAATCACTGTTCAAAAACAAAACACAAACAAAATTCAGTGAGCATTAAAAAGATAAACCATGCAATTGTAACATGGAATTACCAAGGCAGTTTACCTTGTCTGACTGAATCAAACAAATCATAATTTTTGCATCAGTTTGATATTAACTTGTACTTTACCCACAATGTACTGGCCTTATTTTGCATGGTGACCTGGTACCACTACATCTCTCTTGATATCAGTTCAAAGCAAAGTAAACCCAACACATAGAATACAGAGTGAAGAGAGAACACAGCTGGAAAATCCATCATGCAGAGAAGGACCGCAAATAAGTACACATCAAGCTCATTTGCAACAACTGAAGACAGAAAAAATAGGAAGTGAAGGGGCAGAACTCAACTTCTATAATATTCAATATGAATAAGAAAAGAACATGGAACAGAAGCTTTCTCAGGCAATGTACTGGTTTCAAACACAAGTATAAATGTGTTCAGTCCTTTCCTCCACTATTATGTGCTATATAATTCATAAATTCATACCACATGAAAGCAGTACTACCAATACCTTAATTACAAAGCACTTCAGGAAAATTTTGAAGTATGTAATAAATTTTTATACTGACAAAGCTTCCAAGTCAGCAAGCTATTTGAATTAGAAAACCTGTAACACATACTTTAAATATTAGGAAAGATGACTCAATAATGCTTTAACCCCTAACTTTACATGGAGAAACCCACACAACACTTGGAGACATTTAGATTCACTCAAGTTACAGCAATTTCACTGTCTTAAAGCTCAGTTATTTCTCTCTAGAATTCAGAACAATTACTTCATGTGTCAGTTCTTAGAAATATCAAACTTCAATTAAATCAGTGCCAGTGGGAACATTAATATTCTTCTGTAAAACTGGCCTCCACAAGTGTGAGACAAGTAGGTGCCATTTAATTTGAAAAGTATTATATTTAAAATCTTTTCTTCCCTCTTCCAATTATCACTTGAATCACCCTGCTTTCTGAAAACCTCAGTGGGAAAAACAGCTTCCTTAAACAGTATGGAAAAAAAGACAAGGTACATTTTTCATTAGCAAACAGTGGTAGAGCAGTTGATGTCATCTACCTGGACTTGTGTAAAGCGTTCGACACTGTCCCACACAACATCCTTGTCTTTAAATTGTAGAGACATCAATTTGATGGATGGACCACTCGGTCGATAAAGAAATGGCTGGATGGATGCACGCAAAGATTTGTGGTCAACGGCTCAATGTCCAACTTGAGACCAAAAACAAGTGGTGTCCCTCAGGGATCAGTGTTGCAACCGGTCTTGTTTAACATCTTCATCGCTGACATGGACAGTGGGATTGAGTGCGCCCTCAGCAAGTTTGCCGATGACACCAAGCTGCGTGGTTCGGTTGATACGCTGGAGGGAAGGAATGCCATCCAGAGGGACTTTGACACACATGTGAGGTGGGCTGATGCCAACCTCATGAAGTTTAACCATGCCAAGTGCAAGGTCCTACACCTGGGTCGGAGCAATCCCAGACACAGCTACAGGCTGGGCAGAGAAGAGATCCAGAGCAGCCCTGCAGAGAAGGACTTGGGGGTGCTGGTCGATGAGAAAATGAACATGAGCCAGCAGTGTGCGCTTGCAGCCCAGAAAGCCAACCATATCCTGGGCTGTATCAAATGGAGCATGACCAGCAGGCCAAAGGAGGTGATCCTCCCCCTACTCTGCTCTTGTGAGACCTCACTTGGAGTATTGTGTGCAGTTCTGGTGTCCTCAACATAAAAAGGACATGGAACTGTTGGAACAAGTCCAGAGGAGGGCCACGAGAATGATCAGGGAACTGGAGCACCTCCAATATGAAGATAGGCTGAGAAAGTTGGGGCTGTTCAGCCTGGAGAAGAGAAGGCTGTGTGGAGACCTCATAGGAGCCTTCCAGTATCTGAAGGGGGCCTATAGTGATGCTGGGGAGGGCCTCTTCATTAGGGACTGTAGTGATAGGACAAGGGGGAATGTGTTAAAACTTAAACAGGGGAAGTTTAGATTGGATATAAGGAAGAAATTCTTTACTGTAAGGGTGGTGAGGCACTGGCATAGGTTGCCCAGGGAGGTTGTGAATGCTCCATCCCTGGCAGTGTTCAAGGCCAGGTTGGACGAGGCCTTGGGTGATATGGTTTAGAGCGAGGTGTCCCTGCCCATGGCAGGGGGGTTGGAACTAGATGATCTTAAGGTCCTTTCCAACCCTTTCTATGATTCTATGATTCTATTTATTCAGTGCTTTCTGGGAAAAAAAAAACCAACCCCACCAAAACAAACAAACAAACAAAACCACAAAAAAAAACCCAAACAAAGAAAAACCTACAACTCACAAATATACAATTTCAGAACTTTTGTTTTTTTTCCTTTGTTAAACAAAGATCTTGGCCCCTAGCCTATCAAAATAATTGCAGCCATGGCCACTTTTAACTGATCTATCACCTTACACATTTACATAAACATAAACATTCAGCTCTTCACATCTGTTGTAAAACTGCTGCAAAGGAGAATGTAAGAAGCTTCCAGGAATTCAAGATTTCCATTGGTATAGTGAAAACCATGAGGTGTTTCCCACAGTCTCATACATCCTCACTTCTCAGTACATTGTATGTCATATATGTGCAGTACTGTAAAGCACGAACTTCCTCCTTACCAGCAGCATTTTCAGTGGCTACTAACTACATCCAGCCCTCTTTTACAGGACAGACAATTTCCTCTCATTTATCTAGTCAGGTTCCATCTTCATGCCATATGCTTATTAATGGCCTTTTTACAACTCCTTCTGAGAATGAACTCATTATCACAGTCCATTTGTTTGTCTGAATGAATACATTGCCTATGAAAAAGGATTTTACCCAGATACATACTCTATAGGCTAAACCACAGGCTGCACTTGATTATAGAAATATGATCTCAGTGGCTTCACTTTGGAAACATTTTTAAGATGGTTGCTTTTCGTTAATATAATTTTTAGACACTGACAAAACACAAGACTAAACTGTAATTCTAAAATATGCTCATAACAATCTGATAATGAAGTATAAAATACACTTCAGCTGTTATATGATTATAAAATAGTTATTATTGTTTGGTCATTTACACTGTATCTGATTGGATAATTCTCTTAAATCCAAGATTTTTCTTGACTGCATGGAATTTATTTAATTTTTGAGTTCCCAACCAAATGACTACTTAAAAAGAGTTTTCAGTGGGCATACGAGTTCTTATGGATCACTGGCATTCAAAAATACTTTGTAATCCTCTAATAGTCCAGGCACCACTCTGAAATACTACATTAAGTGGAGCAGAATTACATTAACATGCATCTTTGCTGTACTCTGCTTTACTTTTCTAGGTGGCCTAAATACAGAAAAGTGGATATAAATAAAAAGAGATTGGACAAGATTGATTTTTACAATCTTTCAAAAGCAATGGAAAATTAAACGAATCGAATTGTAAGGAAAATGAAAAATTGCAAGCATTATACAGTTGAGAAATAGTATTAGGTTTTTTCTGATTTTAGTATTAAAAAGATCTTGGAAGAAAACTTCAAATTTTTATTTTTGCCTTCCCCCCCCCCCCCCAGTGAAAACATGAACAATTGGCAAATACCAATACCACTCACAAGTGTCATGTTAAAAGTCCCCAAACTAACTTAGAGATTTCACACCACCAAACCACGTTCTGCACTCTTCTTGAGATTAAGCTTATTTATTTTTAAATTCATCACTTCTTACCTAATTCTCTTGTTTTAAACAAAAAATACTATTTGGCTTTCTTCGTAGGCCATGTCTTTTTATACCTTGATACCACAAAAGCTGGCAATTTAAACTCTAAGATTTGTGATGCTGAGATCTTAGAAAGCAGGCATTCTTTATTGCAGGACTGGAGGCATAGGTGATCCTTCCACCTAACATGTCTACCTGGTGTTCCCAAAGCAAGCAATTATATGGTAATAATACAAACATATTCATTAAATTTCCTAGAAAAGTCATATGTATATCTATTTAAATCAAGCATGACAAGTTCATTAGATTTAACGGAAAAGTTATGTATATATTTAAATAATGTCTTGAATCTCATTAATACTATTTTTCTTTTATCAAAGTTTACCAGAGTTCGCTTCAACAGAGCCTAGGCCAACTCCCTTTGTTTCTGTCTTGCTTAGAGGGACACGTATACTTCTCCTACTTAAACATTTTCTGTTATCTAAACTGCTTAGCATAAAATGTGCAGCTCAGTTTATTATCTGCCAGGCTTAGCTCAGTCCATAAAGATTAACCCTTTAAGGTCCAAGCAAGTTGAGTATCAACTTCTAATACTTTTTTTATCTTCAAACAAAAACATCTAAGGAATCCTGTTTGTAGTTTAGTATCTGTCACAGCCCAGCTCTTAACTGAGGCTAGCACATCTATATGTCACAATCACATTAGGTAATACAGAGAAGTAAGCTTCAATAATCATTATATTCCAGTTGGCGATTCTGTTGTTTTTAGTAACAGATTCATCAGTATAACTGTTTTTCAACTTTGCAGAAGGCCAGTGACAACAGATGAAAACATGAGCCATTCTACTTACGCCTTTTAATGAAGTCGTGTTAAGTGATTACCATCACTTCATCAGTGATCAACACAGCTTGATACTGAAAAAGCAACAGTCTCCACAGCTAAAATGTCCACATGTATGCAACACTCACTCTAAAGAATGCCTTAAGAAAATGAATGTAACAGACATGGACAGACATGACCTCCTCCTACTGATAAACAAAAAAAAAAAAAAAAAAAAGAAAGAATTACTTTCATTTATTTATTAAAAAAAAAATGTTTATGATTTTTAATTGGGAAGAAAAAAATCACAACAAAACCCTTGCTTCATTTATTTGACAAGGAGAGGGAACAAACAAGAAGCATCTTCATAAAAAAATAAACACAGATTACTTATTTTCCATCTTTCTTATACTCAAGCTCTGAAACAGGACTATTTGGTACTC